ATTGAAATAAAATAAGTACAAACTAAATAATTTATAAGGAGCGATTGGATGAAGTAACAGTGGTAAAAGTGATAAAAATTGTAGCAGCATTTGTTAGCAGCATAAATTAACTAAGGTACAGTACAACTAAAGTGATGAAGTGAAATACACATAGTTTAAAACATTACAGTTAATTAAAACAGATGAGTCAGGGTCCTTTTCAGGTATTCATGGTTTGAAATTATTCCAAAAATATGTGATCAGTCTCAGAAGACACACGTGAAGCCATCTGACCAATCACAGTCATCGGTAGATCTCGTGTTTTCTCGGGGACCAATGAGACCTAAGCAGGAAGTAGACACAGGAACTTACGTTATCAAACGCTACTATGGATAATATTATCAACAAAACAATAGTTTAAACTCGGGGTCAACCTTATATACCTGTCGAGTATGGAGGTTTGTTTTCTTGTCTCACTACTGGGCTGTAGCTGTTTTTAAATGCGGTGTTTCTCACCGGTTTAACGCGGTTGTTACACTCCGTTATCGACACATGGGTAAAGTCCATCCCCATTGCTAACGACATGGAGCTAAAGGAGGTCGACAGGTGTTGCTGTGTAGTCAAAGTCTTAGAGGCTTTTTCAACAAAGAAACCCGCGAGCTGCAGCGGAGTTATCGTCCATCCTAAAACCGGAACAGTCATATGCACCGGCCTCCCGTTTTCCCGTTTTATTACCGACAAAGAGCCCCTCTCCGCGGACCCCGGGTTCCTGTCACCCCGCAGCTTTAGTGAAAAACTTCAAATCCGCGTCAGCTTTTCCACGGAGCGAGATTGTGCCACCCGACAGGCGGCACACGGAGAACCCCTCCCACCGTCCAGAAACAAAACAACCGGTAACCGGGAAGTTTCAGCTGAGCTGCTGATGCTCGTGAACTGCCTGCACTTTCAACAGGCTTTCCAGGCAGTCTTCCAGGAGGCTGACCAGTGGCGTTTCCATGGTGACGAAGAGGATGAGGAGCTGAGCAGAGACGCCCAGTTCCTCAGCTGGTTCGCAGTCCTCAAGGCAACTGGGTTGGCAGACAGCAGCCCAGATGTGGGGACTATACCCTGGCAGAGCAGCTCACCTCTCCACAAGGGCCTCCCGGTTGTCGCATGTGGCTCACCTTTCGGCTCCCTCTGCTTAGATCTCTTCATCAGCACCCTCAGCAGAGGCATCATCAGTAACCTCGCAGGAGAGGACAATGCTGTCATCCTCACAGACGCCCGGTGCTTACCGGGCACCGAGGGCGGAGGGTTGTTTGTGGTCAAGGGCGCAGACAGTGTGCGTCTCATTGGACTGATCGTGTCTCCATTTGGTTGGAAGGCAAACGAGTGGATTGGCCTCACTCTTGTTTGCTCTGTCCGCTCGATCTTCAGGAGCCTCATCCGCTGCATGAGCGTTCAAGATCCACTCCGAGATGTGTGGCTCCATCCTGGAGAGGCGGGCCTCCAGATGTCCACCACAGCCCACGAGTCAAACGCTGTTCAGTACCCCACTGTGTGCCTGGTGGACAGTGGACAGCTCTGGGGCTCAGGGGTCGTTGTCACGTCCCGGCTGGTTGTGACCTGCCGGCATGTTGTCAACAGGAAGTCTAAGGTCAACCTGAAGTTCCATCACAGGGACAGGTGACAGCACATTCACAGTTCAACCCCTTTAAGTGTGAACTGTCAGGTACTACCCAACCATACCCCTCTGTGAACCCGTCCATAGTATCAGGGGCCCCTAAATGAAATACAGCTTTTGTTAATGACATTAGTTTCCCTACTATGACAAGTCAAAATGTTTGGAGATGTTTGACGCCTCTTTCCAAAGTCACAATAATCCACAGCGCTCAAAAGTAAGGATATCCCGTTGTCAATGGGGACGATAAAAATAGCATCTTGGACACAAAGATATAGTGTCTGGGACAATTCTAGGACTGTAGAGAAATGTATGATTACAAATAACATTACTACGTTTATGCATCATTGAATATATATAAAATTAAAACATTTAATTTAAAACATATGAGGTGGCACCGGCACTTGCTCTACACTACATTAGATTCACACACAAAATCAATCACTGAGAGAGATCAGTGTTGACTTTTTTTTTTTACCCTCTCTGCGACTTTATTTCTGCGAATTTCGCAACTTATTCAGACCATCAGGGAAAAGGCAATAGATATATTTTACTTCATTCCCATGCATGCTGCTCAGAGTAATCGCAGTCCACAGCTCTTCATCCAACAGGGCCAGGCTCTCTTCCTCTCCTCCTGCACTGTGCACAGGCAGAAGGTGTGGCATGTGGGACACGTTTGACCTTCTCTCTGTCACCCTTTCTCGCCGGATCTCTGGATTACGGTGCTCCTATAGCTTGTACATATGTAAATAGTTAGTTTGACATTTTCTCTCCCTGTTTTTTTCCGCATCAATGGATTAGAGTGTTCCTTTAGCTTATATGTAAATAGTTTGTTGGAGCTTGTTTCAATAGTTTGTTTGATTTTTTTCCCCTCCCTTTGTAAATCTTTATAATCTTTAAATATACAATGTCCCTCTAGTGAGTTTGTGATTATTTGGCTAAGTAATAATAATATTCAAAGTGTATGTAGGGAAATTTCCATTGGCAATACCAATAAAGAACAGGTTTGAATTTGCACTGCAGCAAAGGGCAACAGGTCAGAGAAACCCATGGTCACTGCAGCTAGGACTCAGCCTTGGTTAATGGCGCCAGTTCTACCAGCTGAGATACCAGGGTCACCTGTGATTCACATTTTTTTAATTCAGATATAAGTGTACGGAAGTCATGTGAGTTACTGAAACAAAGTTATTAAACTATATTAATTATTTGTTAGGTCTGGGACAGTTGAAATTAAGAGTTTGAGACTTATAAAAAAAGTTTATTTTAAGCCATTGTGATGACCCTTTTTTGTGTGTGTGAGTTTATAGCTCCAAATCTTAGTAAAACATAGTGAAACTGGTCGTCCAGATGATTGGATGCCTTGTTTTATTGTGTTCTTGGTTCATTTAACTCCTTTCCTTTTAAAGGTCCTACACATCCTTGATTCCCGGCACGTTCACATAAGAAAGTGTCACAGTGAAAACCATCAACACGTCTTCTCATATATCATCATATGATATATGGTTGTGTATGTGTTATTCATATGTGGTCTGTAAAACTGGTGGTTTTACACATTTACTATTCTCACTAGTACGTGGACTTTGGTGACCTCCTGTTAATTACCAGCAGCTACTTCAACTGGAGTGTAGGTTTAATCAGCCAGAATAATTTAAAGCACCTGTGCCTTTTAGCAAGCTGTAATGTTTCTGATCAGAATACAGAATATGTAATGCTGGCTCTTTGTTTTGGCAATGTGTGTTTCACAGAGTCCATGATCTTGTGGGTGATGTGCTGTTTTCCACTAAAGCATCTTCACCCTATGATTTGGCTTTGGTGCAGATGAGAGACTCCACCGCAGAGGCTGCGGTCCCTCGAATGACTCAGAGTTTCAGCCCAGGTTTGATTTCACCCTTATTTTGTTGAATTGTTTTTTAGAGCAACATCTTCCTGCATATTCTGTGGCAGAGGAGATCTCTGTTTCTTAAAGCTAATGAATGACCAGCCTGGTTTCTCTGCCTACAGGTGATTCTGTAGTTGTGGTGGGATATGGTGGTTTGGGTCAGAGCTGTGGTCCGTCTATGACCTGTGGTATCCTCTCCAAAGCCATTAGCTTGAATGACCAGACTGTCATGCTCCAGACCACTTGTGCAGTACAAGCAGGGGCCAGTGGGGGTGCTGTGGTACGGAGATGCTCAGGAGAGCTGCTGGGTAAGAAATCCTGCAACTACAAAAACATGTACTCTTTTTGAACAGTGGGGGGCATATGATGACCACAGAAAAACCCCACTACAACAATGCACCACATGTAGAGCGAGTGATAAGGCAACTGTACACACCAGGTTGCTCTTTCTGCACTGCTGTGTTTGCAATTCTAAGAGTGTATAATGAGTATTCGCTGTTTTGCAGGTATCGTGTCCAGCAACACAAGGGACTTGGCCGCAAAAGTGACCTACCCGCACCTCAACTTTTGCATCCCGGTGACTGTTTTCCAGAGATTGTTGCAGCACTTTCACCAGACAAGGGATGCTAATGTGTTCAGGGTGTTGGACACCACAGAAGAAGATATCAGAAGGGTGTGGAGGCTTCAAGATTCTCAAAGCAAACTATAATAGAGGAACCCTGCATTTTGGGATATGCCAGAGGAAAAGAATGGAAGGTTAAATCAATATATATTATATTCAAAATAACATTAGATGATCAAATTTATATTCTGTATAGTTCTTTTTAACAAAACTGATATTTTCATAAACATAACTTTATGTTTCATACCTCATTTTTCATACCTCAGGCACAAAGGAGTAAATGAAACTAAAACAAGACCTATCAATTCTTAATGCTGATACCCAGAATAATGCAGTAAACAATGTGAAATATTTAAAAGATGTTAACAGCCAAGCTAAAGTGACTTTAATGCCTGTTTTGATTGTTTTATTGTACTGTAATGTAATTAAATTGATAAAACAGTTAATTCTGGAGATATTTCGGTGTAAGCTGGGTATATTTCTGTACACGATCATCACAGATTACACACGTGACAAGTAAAATATCAAAGAAACAGAAAGAGCTAGAAGGCTGAATAAAGCAAGATTAATTAGCCCTATGTCTCCCTATGTAATAAAGCATCAGATAAAACGATTCCACATCAAGCCTTAATAATTTCACAGCAACAAGAAAAGATGATGCACTTTTCGTGGAAGTGTTTGTTAGGATTTACACCTGGTTCTGTTACATATGGCTTGTTTTCATGAAGCAGGAGGAATATTCAGCATAATAGGCTGACAG